GGTTCTGTTCCTTTGGGCACAGACTAAAGCTTGCACGCTTTCAAACTCTGCAGCAGCGCACAACAACAACTTAAACACTTCAATGTGTTTTTCGTATTTTTTTTATCTCTTGTATCCAAGAGCTTCCCAAGAGGCACTATATATACTTATATAGGCCTCTAAGATCAGCTCAAAGATCACCCACATTTAATTTGACTGTTACAAACATAATGGCAATTATGATAATTATATTTGTAACAGTAAATAACATAAATGTTGTAACTGCTGCATGTAGTAACGTCTGGATGCGAGGGTCGCTATCCTGCGGAACACGAGGGTCGCGTCCAGCCTCGCGTGAATGCGAGGGTCGCGTTCCCTCTTGTGAACGCGAGGGTCGCACCCTCATGCGAACACGAGGCTCATCCGCATGCTGCGAAGCAGACTGTGAGGCAGTCCTGCGTAGCAGCCAACGTGGTGCCACCTAGCCCCGATGCCTTCGTACGAAATACAAAGTGCGTCTAACAAAGAGTCACTTAGCGCCTCAGCCCGATTAGCCCCGATCCTCCGCCCACGGCTCACGAGCCCACGACCCACGACCCACTAGAACATACGAGGGATTAATTAAACAAAAATAATTCTCGGCTTGACATTGGCAAGCCTCAAACACAGGATCTTTGAGATATCAAAACTTTAACTTTCCGTTACGCTACTAAGGATTTCTAAAAAATACCAGTAGTTAATAAATACATAGTTTAAAAACTCATTTTTGAAAAACGGTTTTGACTAAAAATATCTAATAATCCCCCACAAGTTTCTTAAACTAGTGTCGTGTAACAGTATTGTTGTTTCAATCGTTATGCATAAGGTAGATGCCGCAAGGACTTGAATCCCCTTTAAACCAACTGAATAAAAGATAGATGTATGCTGTCGCAAAGACTTAAACGAGCATATGTCTAAAATCTAGCTATCACACAAGATCAAACTCATCTGTAGTAGTTTTCACTTTGAACCACACTTGCATTTGCCTTTGTCTTAGCCTTGCACATTTATGGCCCTGTGCATGTCCTGGTTTTAGCTAGGGCTCTAGGTATCTTTCCACAAGATACCATAGGAGACGGTCAAATCTTCACTCAGGCATAGGTGAGTTCTTTAGGCATGTTTCCTATCAAACATCCCGCATCCGAGATGCTTTGAACTCATTAAGGAATAAGAGTCATCATCTCTCATGACAGGATTCTAGGTGAGTCCTTTAGGCGTGTTTCCTATCTAACACCCCACATCCAAAATGCTTTGGACTCATTAAGGCTTAACAGTTATCCCCTTTACATGATAGGATTATCGGTGAGTCATTTAGGCATGTTACCTATCCAATAGTCCGCATCCAAAATGCTTTGGACTCATTAAAGCTTAACAGCCATCCTTTTTACCATGATAGAATTTCACTTGCAAATCTTACTTAACTTTTGAGCCAATCATCTCATCATTAGTAGCGTAAGCTTTGAACTAATAACTTGATATAAATGGTAAGTATTTGTAAGACTCACCAAACTTTACAAATCTTACTTGACCTTTGAACTAATTATATTATCATTAGTAGCATAAGCTTTGAACTAATAACTTGATGTACACGGTAAGTATTTGTAAGACTCACAAAACTTTAAGACCTATTCCAACAGACGTCCTTTCAACTATGTTCTTTTTCAAACCCTTAATCAAAGGCTCAGCCACATTCTATGCAGACCTCACAGAGATGACTCCTTGGCAAATGAGTTCTCTCAAATAGCCATGCTTCAGACGAATGGTCTGCTTCTTTCCATTGAACATCGAGTTTGCTGCCACAACACCCATTGCCTGATTATCACAATAGATAGTAATTGCACCTTACAATTCTGTCAATAGAATGTCTTGAAAAAAAATAACTGAGCCATTCAGCTTCATCTTCTACAGTACAGAGTGCGAAGAACTCAGATTCCATCGATGATTGTGCAATCATAGTCTTCTTCTTAGACTTCCACGATATGACAACTCTACCCATGGTGAAGACAAATCCTCCAGTAGATCTACATTCATATGGTTCTGAGCACTAGCTCGCATCTGAATAGCCTTCGATTACAACCGGATATCTAGTGTAGAATAGGCCCAGACCAATAGTTCCTTTCAAGTATCTCATCAACCTCTGAATAACATTTCAATGAAGCTTTCCAAAATTACTTGTGAACCTACTAAGCATTCCTACAACGAATTCTATGTCTGGCCTTGTGCAGCTCATCGCATACATAAGACTCCCAATGATCTTTGAGTACCTTAGCTGCTCTACTGGTCTTTCAGTATTCTGTCGAAGATTCTTGTTGTAATCATACGATACTGACAGTTCTGACAGGTCGTAGTAGCCATACTTTCTTAGCATGATCTCAACATAATGAGATTGAGACAATCCAATACCCTCTTCAGAGTATATGATTTTGATTCCGAGAATCACGTCCGCAGTTCCAAGATCTTTCATGTTGAACTGTGCTGAAAGAAATTTCTTAGTAGATATTACTATCTCCAAATCACATTCGATAATGAGCATATCATCCATATAGAGGTAGATAACCATCACTTTTTCTTCAGCGACCTTAATGTATAGACACTTGTCAGATTCACTGACTTGATACCCACTATTGCGGACAACCCTATCGAACTTCTTATGCCAGAGTTTCGGTGCCTGCTTAAGTCCATATAAAGACTTAACAAGTTTACAAACTTTACCAGCTGGAGCATCAAGTCCTTCTGGTTTTTCCATGTAGATATCTTTTGTGAGATCTCTATTGAGAAAGGAAGTCTTCACATCTATCTGATGTATGACAAACATTTTTATCGCCGCCCATGCGATAAACACTCTGATGGTAGTAATCATGCAAACTGGTGCATAAATATCAAAAAAATCTATTCCTTTTTTTTGAGAGAATCCTTTTGCTACCAATCTTGCTTTGTACTTCTTAATTGTACCATCAGGACGAAGCTTCTTCTTAAAGATCTACTTGCAACTGATATTAGCATAAGACCCTAATCATCATCTTGTGATGATTAGGGTCCTGAGCAAAAGATCTACTTGCATATTTTCATAGTGGAGTTGGTGATGAAGATGATGATTAGGAGGAATGATATGTATTAATTCAGCTTAGAAAATACTAGATGTGCTGTATAAACAATATTTATTATGTCAGGATATTTTTTATTTGTTTTTATTGAAATATATGTGTTATATATGCATGGGAATGAATATTATATTGCTGATTGAACATGTTTTTTAAATTTATTATATTATTGTACATGGTTTTTTTAATTTTCAAAATATTTTGAAAAAAATATTTTTCACTTTTAGCGATGGATTGATCATCGCTCAATATAACTTTAGCGATGAAAAACGGACATGGGAAAAACAAATAAAAATAAAAATATATCTTTGGCGACGGCCAATCCGTCGCTAAAGGTGTTTTTAGAAACGAAAAACGGGGTCGAGAAAAACAAATAAAAATATAAATATAACTTTAGCAACGTAATAGTCGTCTCTACATATGTATTTAGCGACGGAAATATCCTATTTTTTTATTTTTTTTAAAAATAGTACGACGGAAAAACCGTCACTAATTTCCCGTCGCTAACTTTTACCGACGGAAAATCCGTCGACAAAAGTGCTATTAGGGACCCTCAATGTATAGACGGTATTGCAGCCTACATTGAATTGATAATGTCAAGGCGAGGCAATCCATCCTTGGAATGTAATCTGTAATAAACCTGTAAGTTATAGGTGGGGCATCTAATTTTGACAAGTTGATCTATTCTTGAGCCATACAATATCAACTAGAATTTGTACCTAATTCCAATAACGTTTTTCATTACAACATCAATAGTTTTTACAAGTACAATTGAAGAAATTACAAAAACTCAGAAGAATCAGGCAAACCAGGCGGCGGTCGACCGGTCCGGTCGACCGCATTCGTGCACAAGGGTTCCTGTGCGTCTGGAAGGAGGTCGGTCGACCGGCCCGGTCGACCGCAGATGTTTCGGTCGACCGGTGCGGACGACCGACGGCTCTCTGGATTTTTGGGGCTTCTGCTGGATGGTGATCGGTCGACCGGGCCGGTCGACCGGAATTGATCGCGGTCGACCGGTCCGGTCGACCGACGCTGTTTTGGGCTGGGCTTTCAGGTTTTCGACCCGATTCGTTTTGTAAGTTCTATATATACCTAAACCTGTTTGTTTAGGGTAGAGGTTGGACGAATTTGAGCAGCCAAAGAGAGAGAATCATTGCATCCAATTGTGAGAGAGCTTTGAGAGATCTAGAGCTTTGTTTTAGGGTTTGGTCTGAGAGATTTGTAACCCTATTTGTATTCTCTTGATTTCTAGTAGAAAGAACTCCCCCCTCCTTGCCCCGTGGATGTAGGCAACTTGCCGAACCACGTAAATTGTGTGTTCTTGCTGTGATTGTGGTTTGCATATTGTTTATGGTTTAGTTCAAGTTATTGTTCGTGTTGCCGTAGAAAGCTTCCGCCGCGCACAACAATTGGTATCAGAGCAAGATCGACAA